CCACGTGTACAGCCTCCGTTTGTGTTGTTGAAAAAAGGTGTTTGCAATGAACAAGTGATATATTTAGCTGAGGATAATCTTACACAGATACAAAATAACCACAATCATTTACAGAAGCAACAGCAGACAGACATGGAGCAATCCCTCATAGACAGCCAGACACCTCAGGAGAGAGCTCCACCAGATCTGCTGACTCAGGACCATAGTACTGGGGGACACCAGACTCAACTGGCACAACAAAATACATAAAAGTCTTGTTCCACAACCTACTTTGGTGAGTAGCAACTGGGGTCTTAAAAGCTTTCAAGTGGCCATCTAAGATGCAGCTAATGGTCTCCTATCATCAGAAGCGAAGAAGAGTGAAGAAAACTGGGAGCATCTGGAAACCATCAGCCCTTGGACATGATGGACCTCAAGACCAGAAGAACTGGATGGTGCCTAGATACCAATGCCAACCACTCAGGAAGGGATCAAACCTGGAGATCCTGGATAGAGTGGGAGGAAAAATGTGGAACAAAACCCAAAAACACAATATTGAGCAGAATTACTGGTCAGATGGAGTCTGGTTGGACCCCCAAGATTATGGCCCTGGGATACACTTCTGGCCTGGGATAAAACTCACTCCCAAGGGCTGGCTCTGAGCCCAATAGTAAATAAGACTTACATGCAGAACACCCAACCCAGGGTGAGCACCCACCTACTCTACAGATACATCCCTTGGAGCGTTCGGCCACGGGGCACCAGAGGAACAGTAGTCACACAGACAGGCGTGCATAACTAAGAAGGGCACAGGGCTGGGGGCTCCCCGGGAAGGGAGAGGAGGAGCCTGGGTTAGGCTGGGGGATGGTAACTGGGGAGTGAAACCAAATTCCATGAAATGCTGAGTGTAAAGTAAGTCCTGCTCTGGTAATTTGCACCTAAAGCATAATTTTAAAAAGAAGAAAAAGAAATGTCAGTAACAGAGGGTTGTTGCTGCTTTGTAGCTACAACCCCTAAATACCACTGAGTTGATGTGTCCTGGGGTAGTTTTCTCCCCTTGGTGTCAAGAGCCCCACACCTCACACAGCCAGCATGTCTGCCCGCAGAAGCTTCGCCAGTGCTGTGAGCTGCACAGGGCATCTGCAAAGCTCCCAGCCTGCCATGCTGCAGCAGCTAAGGCTGTGTTTGTCGGCTTGGGTGGGCATGGTCTGAGTGGCTGCACTGGTGCATTTGGTCAGTCCCACGATGGGACTGTGATCACCGCCATGAAGGACACTGCTGTGAACAGCTAGGCGGCTGCCTGCAGGGCACGACCTGCTCCCCGTGCAGGAGGAGAAGCTTCGGGAAAGGGCTCGCTGGCTGGTCTACTATGCATCCTGCATCTGGCCGGGTCTTCACCCCACGGCCACCATACTGCACGCCAACCTTGGACTGTTCCAGGACTTGAAGCAGTGGTCTGCAGTGTTGCTTGCCCGTCTGGGGACTGTGCCATTTCATTAGTCAACTTGGGCTCATCTGCCTCAGCAGCCAACAGCTGCATTGTCAAAAAAAGCCTCCAGCTCTAGTGGGCCTGGAAAAGGAGGCAGAGCCGAGGCCCAAGGCTGAGCCTCCACCCAGCCCCTAGAGCTGGCACTTTGGACTCAGACTTCTAGCCTCCTAAACTATAAAACAATGAATCCCTATTTATTCAAGCTATCCACCTGTGGTATGTCTGTCACATCTGTACCAGAGAACCAAGACAGATGGACTAGGGAAGCTACCCGCCTGTATGTCTGTCACATCTGTACCAGAGAGCCAAGACAGATGGACTAGGGAAGCTACCCGCCTGTATGTCTCTCACATCTGTACCAGAGAACCAAGACAGATGGACTAGGGAAGCTACCC